AAAAAAAAAAAAAAAAAAAAAAAATGAAATGAAAATGAAACCAATGTATATGAGTATTACTACCTTTTGAGCCATCAAACTCATAAGAGTCTTGAATAAGAGCTTGTTCATTTTTCGACTTGTCGTCGATGTACGTATTTCCTAGGAATATAGCAAGATTTTCGTCTACTTCCCTCAAAACCATCCAAAGATCTCTTCTTTCTCTTGGCCTGATTTCTATTGAAGCCTGCATATTTTTTTTTTTTTTTTTTTTTTTTTTTTTTTTTTTTTTTTTTTTTTTTTGTGAATAAGTCGTGTTATGATGAATGACAACTATACCAAAAAGTCTACTTCTTAGTGCTAAAAATTCATTCTTGAAGACATACAGATTAAGGCAGCCTTAAAACCTTTGTACAGACTTTAAGAACTAATTCCCTTAAACTTGGAGCTTAATAAAAAACAAACACATCCATATTCATTTTTCTTCTTCAATAAAAACACAACGTAAATAAAAAAGTATGACCCGTTTTTACGGCATACTGCATATGCATTTTTGTTATAAAAATACGAAGGTTCGACTAGCCTAATGGTTAGGCTTTCTCACTCAAGAATATTAAGAGTGCTTAAAAGAAGAGATAAATTACTTACAGCCATTTGATATGGTTGTGGCATAAACTGCAGAGGAGATGAAGAAAGTGCAAGTTATATGGTAAAGCTTCTTCTGTATATTTATACAGAATTTTTGTTCTGTTTTTGAATCTTTTTTATAACTTTATTTTGGACAGATAATATACTCACAATAGTCTTTTGTTTGAGGATATTATTTAATTTTAATTCATGCTGAATAGGGAATTTTATATATCATTGTGGCAATTTTTGTTTGAGGAGGGTTTTTGCCAATAATATGATGTATATGGTATTGATGGAAGATGCTACGGTCCCGTTATGGAATCATTCCGTTGGGATTTGTAACTGTTAGATCAACTATCTCTAATGGTTACATGATGATTTAACGGTTACAAATCCCGATAGAATAGTTTCGTGACGAGACTTTAGCATTTTCATGTATTGACATACTTTGAATTGATAGCAAGATTAGATAATTTTCCTTTATTGTGCATATAAAAATAACTTTCCTCTTTTCTAAATATATTTAATTAGTTTGCCATTTTTAAATAAATCAGACCGTTTATGTAATGTGGAAAATAAATAAATAACTAATAGATGAGACAAAGATGGAAATATTTCAAACTGAAGGTTTGAATTATGTGAAGTTCACAAGACACAGACATCAATTTCATTATTGGTTCAATTTTGAACAACATGAAGACTTTTCAGGAATTGATTGTGAATAATAATAATAATAATAATAATAATAATAATAATAATAATAATAATAATAATAATAATAATAATAATAATAATAATAAAAGCTTTGCAAGCAATAGAATTGCTAAGTTTTGGATTTATGTGTGTAAATAGAAAAATTCTTGAAAGATAGATTAAAAAATCCTTGAAGAATTTATTAGACACACTTCAATTTTTTTCAATCACCAAAAAGGAGATAAAGTACTCTTGATGGTTTAATTTATCTTTTTTTAAGCCTAATTTCAAATGGATACATGTCAAGGATAAAAGACATTTTCTAGAACTAGGGACATGTAGGTATAAAGCATCTAAAGATTACAAGAAAAGAGGGGACATGCAGGTATAAATGCTACGGTCCCGTTACAGTACTATATTGTCGGGTATTTTAACATTTGGATCTTATCTAACTTACCTTATCTAACTAGATCCAACGGTTAAAACACCCGATGGTATGATACTGTAACGGACCGTAACATTTCCCCTTAGTTATATCTACTATAAGAGTGAACCAATATCTACTTACTTTGGCAATAATGATTCCAACCAAAAATTCTCAATAAACTTTTAGTTGAAATTTAGAGTTTTTCAACGACTTATTATCATAGGAATTTAGGTTGAAATATACAATATCTGTTAAATTTTTATTTCTATCCATATTTCAATTGTTCACAAATCTACCGATAGAGTCAAAATCCAATAAAAATTTCAGTAGAAAATTCATTACAACAAAATATTTTTGTGTAATTTTAATATTTTATTGTAGTGTACTTTATCCTATGATAATTTCTCAAAAATCATGCATGATTTCATACGTAATTATAACATAATTTATATAAAAAAATGATATTTTTCAGATAATTACGATTTTTGTTTGTCTAAAAAGTATTAGGCTGTGACACAAACCTATCTACCGCTTGGCCCGGTAGCCCGTGAAGAGTACGCGTTCTTTCTCATTTCGGTTTCATATTCCTTCATTTTTCTTCAACTCTCTTTCTCTTATTCACTCACCACCGATCGCTTGTTATCTTCTTCTTCTTAGGTAAAGTTTATCTTGCTATTTATTTTCATTTTCAGTGCTTTTTGTAATTTATTGGTAGAATTTTGTAATTGCAGAGT